GTTTACTTGTTCTAATAACCTTGAGTGGATTCGTTTGAGTATTTTATATACAAGGTTAGGTTATCTGCAAATACATATAACTTTACTTTCTTTCCAACCAAGATACCTTTTATTTCATTCCCCTGCTCAGTTGTCTTAGCTAGCATCTTTAGTATAGTCTTGAACGGAAGTAGTGAGAGCAGACATCCATGTCTTGTTTCTGAAATTAGGGGAAGAGCATTTAGTCTTTCACTGTTAATTACAGTGTTAGTTAGGGTTTTTTAAATCAATGTTCTTTATCAAATTGAGGAATTTACCTTGTATTCCCTTTTTGGGTATTTTAAATCATGAAGCGGTATTCAGTTTTTGAGTTGTTCTTAGTGGTTGTCCGGGGGACATCTTGTAACTAAAGTAGATCATTTAATACCATCTTAATTTCAATAGTATACAAAAATTTTGCTTCTAGACATACAGTTGGCCAACAGAACATGAAAAGAACATGCATCAGGGAAATGCAAATCAAAACCACAATGAGATATCACCTCACCCCTGTCAGAATGACTAAAATCAAAAACACAAGAAACAACAAGTGTTGGCAAGGATATGGAGAAAAAGGAACCTTTGTGCACTGTTGATGGGAATGCAAACTGGTGCAGCCACTGTGGAAAACACTATGGAGGTTCTTAAAAAATTAAAAACAGGGGCACCTGGGTGGCTCAGTCAGTTAAGTGTCTGCCTTTGACTCAGGTCATGGTCCCAAGATCCTGGGATTGAACCCCACATCAGTCTCTGTCGGGCTCTCTGTTCAGCAAGGAGCCTGCTTCTCCCTCTCCCTGTGCCTGCCGCTCCCCCTGCTTGTGCTCTCTCTCTCTGTCAAATAAATAATATCTTAAAAAAAAATTAAAAATAGAATGTATCACCATATGATCCATAATTCCACCACTGGGTATTTACCCAAAGAACATGAAAACACTAACTCAAAAAGATATATGCACCCCTGTGTTTATTGCAGTAGCCAAATGTGGAAGCAACCCATGTGGCCATCCAAGATAAACGGATAAAGAGAATGTGGGGTGTGTGTATATACATACATACACACACGTGTGCACGCACACAGTGGAATATTACTCAGCCATAAAAAAGAATGAAACTTGGCATTTGTAACAACATGGATGGTATAATGCTAAGTGAAATAAGTCAAAGAAAGACAAATACCATATGATTTCACTCATGTGGAAATTAAGAAACAAAACAAAAAAAGACAAAAAAGTAGACTCTTAAATGTAGAGAACAAACTGATAGTTACCTGACATGGGGGTGGTTGGGTGAAATAAAGTGAAGGGAATTAAGAGTACACTCATCGTGATGAGCACTGAGTAATATATAGAATTGTTGAATCATTGTGTTGTAAATCTGAAACTAATATAACACTGTTAATTATACTGGAATTAAAAAATAAAATTTGAAAATTTTGCTTCTTCATAAGTCTGATCCTTCCCCTTTACTTTTCTCTGCCACACAAATGTGCCCATCAAGATTTATAATTATTATATGATGTATTTGCCTTTTAAATCAGATGGGGGGGCGCCTTGGTGGCTCAGTTGTTAAGCGTCTGCCTTTGGCTCAGGTCATGATCCCAGGGTCCTGGGATCGAGCCCCGCATCGGGCTCTCTGCTCCTTGGGAGCCTGCCTCTCCCTCTCCCACTCCCCCTGCTTGTGTTCCCTCTCTTGCTGTGTCTCTCTTTCAAATACATAAACAAAATCTTTTTTAAAAAATCAATCGGGAAAAAAGATATAAACCAAAAAATACATTTATAATGTATGCTAATTATGAGTTCTCAGTTTTCATTTGTCTAGTAATGTCTTAATTCACCTTCATTTTTTGAGGAATAATTTTGCTGGATATAGAAATTTTGGTTGATGACTTTTGTTCTTTCAGCATTGTTTTCTGGCTTCTGATTAGAAGTTATATCTTATTGAGGATTCCTTGTGCTTGATTAATTGTGCTCTTGCTGCTTTCAAGATTGTCTTTGGCTTTCAACAGTTTGTTTATGATATATCTAGATGTGGATCTTTGTGAGTTTATTCTACTGGCAATTGTTGAACTTCTTGTTTATGAGGCTTAATGTTTTTCATTAAATTTGGATGTTTGGGGTCATTATTTTATCAAATACTCTTTTTTGTCCATTAGTTTCCTCGCCTGCTGGGATTCCCAGTAATGCATATGTTGGTTTCTGAGTCACATGTGTTTTTATTTCTTTAGATGGGGTTATCTAAATTGACATATCTTCATTTTCACAAATTCTTTTTTCCTCTTATTCAGATCTGCTGTTCAGCCCATCTAGCTTTTTGTTATTGTTATTGTACTTTTGACCACAGTTCATACTTTTTTTTTCTCAAAAAACTATTCATTTTATTTTTTATAATTTTTCTTCATTGATATTCACAGTGTGCCAAAATATTTTTTTCCCTCATACTGTCCTTAGTTCTTTAGCCACAGTTTCCTTCAATCCTTTAAACAATGCAGCTGATTTAAGGACTTGCCTGATAAATTCAGTATTTGGGCTTCTATTTTCTATTGATTGGTTTTTTACCCTGTATATAGGCCATACTTTGTAGGTTGTTTTTTTTCTCATGTTCTGTAGTAATGTGTTGAAAACTAGTTGGATGTGTAAGTAATAAAATGTGGCAACAGAATTTTTTCTTGCTGTTTATTGTGATTGTTTCCTTGTTTAATTAGTTTTCTGACCCAGTTCTGTTTTGTCTATATTCTTGTGTTTGGCCAGTAAAGTCTCCACTTGGTTAGCTAAGCAGTGATTGAAGAGCGATTTCCTTAGTTTGATTTGATTTGATTTCCTGGAACCAACAAGTTCCCTGGGCATTGTAGAGCAGCTCTGTGTGCATGTTGAGGTACACCTTTTAACACTCAGCTAGCCAGTTTTGAACTCTGCCTTAGCCTTTAGTTCCTCCTTGTGCAGATCCTCAAATTCAGCCAGAGATGATAGTTTAGGGCCTTCTAATGAATTTTCATGACTTTCCTGAGTGTGTGTATAGCCTGTACACATGTCCAGCACTACACATGAGCCTAGTCTTATATATTCTTAGGAATTTGTTAGAGTTTTTCACAGCCCTTTTGTGTATCTTATCCTTGCTTTCCCTATTAAATTTTTTGGTTAGTCTGTTGTTCAATCTAACAGGCAGCTTTGAAGTTCAATATTTGTCTATCATTGTCAACAACCACACCCAAGGAAAATTATTTTGATGCTGTGCAAGCTACAGATCAGGTCAAATATAGACAACCTTGCCAGTGAATTTTTTTAGGGAACCATCAAAAAGGTCAGATAGTGATAATTCTTTGGGATTAAGGCTTTGAAGAAATTTCAGCACATTGTTGCTGCTTGTCTTCACTTTAAATGTGATTTGTTAGTTCTAAGGTTACCATAGCTCTGGAGGTCAGGGCATGGGACTAGGGCATGTTAAAACACCATAGAGTTCACTGTTCTTATTGAGGGTCAGCTCTTTTTCTTAAATAGATGCTCTTTGAATTCCTGCAGACCTTTGGTTATTTTCTACATTCTGTAAAATTGATTCTTAAAATTTTTGCCAGTTTTCTCATTGCTTTTATTGAAGAAAGAAATTTTGAGTGTCCTGACTTGCCATGCTGGTTTTAGCTTATTTACTCTTAGCTTGTCCTTTCTGTCCCTTCCTCAGGCTCTTTTACTGTACTGTTAGATGAGGGTCTTTCTGGGTTTCTTCATATTTGAAATAAGGGATATTGCCAAGGACAGTCAACTGCAGTTATTTATAATAGCAAAAGTGAAAACAACCCAAATGTTTCAAAATAAAGAAATCTTTTTTTTTTTTTTTAATGTTTCGTCTATATATTCATATGATGGAACATTACAGAGTCACTAACAATCATGTATTTGGAGACTATTTTATAGGAAAATGTATGATTATGGATAGGAGAAAAGTATAAAATGCAGTATATTCAAATTTTTGAAAATAAGGTTTGTAAAGAAATAAACATGTATACACCAAAATTAACTGCTGGAAGGAGCTGTATCAAAATAGTAGCATTTCAGAGAAAGATAATTACCATATGATCTCACAGATCCGTGGAATTTGAGAAACAAGGCAGAGGATAATAGGGGAGGAGAGGAAAAAATGAAACAAGACGAAACCAGAGAGGGAAACAAACCATAAGAGACTCTTAATCTCAGGAAACAAACTGAAAGTTCCTGGAGAGGAGGGGGATTGGAGGGATGGGGTGGCTGGGTGATGGACACTGGGGAGGGTATGTGTTGTGGTGAGTGCTGTGTATTCTATAAGACTGATGAATCACAGGCCTGTACCCCTGAAACAAAGAATACATTATATGTTAATAATAAAAAATAATAATAAAGGATAGTGCATGATTAGAAAAAATGGTAGGATTTATTATTTCTGGGTGGTAGGTGAGTTAAAAACTGTATTATGTACCATAAGGTTGTGTTAATTATTTTTTGTGATAAAATGCAGTAATTAGGGCGCCTGGGTGGCTCAGATGGTTAAGCGTCTGCCTTCGGCTCAGGTCATGATCCCAGGGTCCTGGGATCGAGTCCCACATGGGGCTCTCTGCTCCTTGGGAGCCTGCTTCTCCCTCTGCCTCTCTCTCTCTCTCTCTCTCTCTGTCTCTCATGAATGAATAAATAAAATCTTAAAAAAAAAAATGCAGTAATTAGTGTGACACACCTGTACCTATACTGTTTTTCACTCTTACGAGTTTAATTAAAAATTATATGGATGTTGAGTTTTGGTGATTTAACATAAGCTCTTATAAATATTTGAAGAGATGCTATAAGAACGTGCTAATAATAACTGACATTGGGGCTAACAAAATGTATATGAGCAGTTGTTAATCCTAAGAGTCTACTCTGTAGAAAGGAGTTTTTGTTGCACTGGGGTATAATAAGGTGTATTATTAGGCAGATGAAAAACCTGAAATCTGATTTATTCCATTTCATTTTTTTTCTTTTCAGGCGCATATTAAATTTCCTATTGACTACCCATATTCACCACCTACCTTCAGATTCTTGACCAAAATGTGGCACCCCAACATTTATGAGGTAAGAGACATATGTTGTGAATTTCTCTGAAGATGCACTTTTTAGAAACAGTCCTTTAAAATAACCTTTATATCTCCATATGCTGTGGTTGTTACGCTGTAGCCACAAAGGAGTGTTCATGGTTCCCCACTTTTAGTAATCTCTAGTTTAATGGTTCAAAATTGAGGGTGGTTTTATAATACCAGTATATATTATATTTAAGAATAAGGCTTTAGGGGCGCCTGGGTGGCTCAGTCGTTGAGCGTCTACCTTCGGCTCAGGTCATAGTCCCAGGGTCCTGGGATCGAGCCCCACGTTGGGCTCCCTGCTCTGTGGGAGGCCTGCTTCTCCTTCTTCCACTCCCCCTGCTTGTGTTCCTACTCTCGCTATCTCTCTCTCTCTGTCAAATAAATAAATAAAATCTTAAAAAAAAAAAAGAAGGCTTTAAACCTTTGTTGCTTATTGCTAAGATTATTATAATGCCTATGTGTTAAGACTTGGATTTCAAAAATTTCGTATATATAAAGACATACAGATTAGTGTACCTATCCTGTAGTGTCACAGCAGTGGTCACCTGTTGCTGTGACCAGAAATTGAGCTTTTTAGGGGAATTTATCCTACTACATTTGGACTGGCCTCCTTTTAGGAATTGCTGCAGAACAGTTGAGAACCTCTTTTAGAATAAATCCAAGGTGAGGTTCTTTTACTGGACAAATTCACATGCCTTCGGAAATCATTTCTAGTTTTGTTGATGAAATGTACTTACCTTTGGGCTAATCTGTAAGGATGCTAGAATGATGCATTTTGTTTCTCAGGATAATTATGTCAGGATCCTGTAAAATATCCTTAGAGTCTACTCCTTTACCATTCTGTAATATTTTTCATTGTAATAAGGCTCTGAGGTGGTTTCATTTTATTGAAGCTGTGGTCCAAGCATAAAATTGCTTTTTAAAATTGGCAGCATTAGTTATGGTAGTCCCTTTTATTGGCCTGGTGGATATTGGGAAGCTCCTTTGCTCCAGAAACAGAGCAACATAGTCTTTGAATTGCTTGTGGGCAAGAAATGGAGAACTTACTCTAGAGTCCTGAATTTGGATCTCCATCTGTATAAATTAGCACACTGGAGCAGCTTTAGTGTTTTTCACAACTTGCTTTTTCTTTGAGGTATTATCTTCATTTTGTTTTTTTCTTTTCTATTTATTATTTATTTGAGAGAGAGAGTGTGTTGGGGGGGGGCGCGGATGGGGGAGTGGCAGAGGGAGAGAGAAAATCCCAAGCAAACTCCCACCTGAGTACAGAGCCCGACATGGGGCTCAATCCAACAACCCTGAGATCATGACCTGAGCTGAAATCAAGGTCAGTCACTTTAACTGACTTGAGTCTCCCAGGTGCCCCCCCCTTTTTTTTAGAAGTGGGGAGGGGCAGAGGGAGAGAGAGAGAGAATCTTAAGCAGACTCCATGCCCAGTGAGGAGTCCCACGTGGGGCTCAATCTGACAACCCTGAGATCTTGACCAAAGTCAAGAGTCAGATTTTTTTTTTTTTTAAAGATTTTATTTATTTATTTGAGAGAGAGAGAGCACATGAGAGGGGGGAGGGTCAGAGGGAGAAGCAGACTCTCTGCCGAGCAGGGAGCCCAGTGCGGGACTCGATCCAGGGACTCCAGGATCATGACCTGAGCCGAAGGCAGTCACCCAACCAACTGAGCCACCCAGGTGCCCCAGATTTTTTTTTTTTTTTTAAGATTTTATTTATTTGTCAGAGAGAGCAGAAGCAGGGGGAGCAACAGGCTCCCTGCTGAGCAAGGAGCCCGATGTAGGACTCGATCCCGGGACCCTGGGATCATGACCTAAGCTGAAGGCAGCTGCTTAACCAGCTGAGCCACCCAGGCATCCCAAGAGTCAGATGTTTAACTGACTGAGCCACCCAGGGACCCCTCTTTTCTTCTTTAAACAGAACAAACTGGTGCTCAAGAGGTGATACATAGTTACATTTCCAGAAATAAGCTCCCAGAATATTGTTTTAGTATCTTTAGTATTTGACATAATCACAATATGAATAAACAATAGTAAATACCTTACATTATTTTGTATAACTAAGTTACCCATTGTAGGAGAGAGACATAGAAGCAATTCGCTGTTTCATAAGTTCAAAGTGAGTTCAGTACACATAGAGATATTTTTGTGTCTCTGTCCATGTAATATATATAGAGATTTTATTTATTTTTAGATAGATAGATAGATTTTAGATAGCAAGAGAGAAGTGAGAAGACACAAGCTTTTGTTTTGCTATTGAGAACTAATTTACCATAAAGCCATGTATAACTTCTTTCCATCTCAAGTTATCTAATTCCCAAATCCCTCTCAAATAAGAAACAAAAAACGAAGGAATTCAGAACTGTGAAGGATTAAAATGTAGGTAAACTCCCTTTTCCAGTATTTTCTCACTATTAAGGTAGGCCATTTAGTTCTGTCTCCTTAAGATTTAACATTGGATCATTATCTTTAAAAATATTTTTCATATTCATAATAAAATTTTCAGTGGTAAAATAATGCATACATACCTACAAATATGCAGTTGTTTTCCATGCCATAAAAGTTTTCTTTTAAAAGAAGTGGTAAGTTGGGCGCCTGGGTGGCTCAGTCGTTAAGCGTCTGCCTTCGGCTCAGGTCATGATCCCAGGGTCCTGGGATCGAGTCCCACATCGGGCTCCCTGCTCGGCGGGAAGTCTGCTTCTCCCTCTCCCACTCCCCCTGCTTGTGTTCCTGCTCTCGCTATCTCTCTCTCTGTCAAATAAATAAATAAAATCTTTAAAAAAAATAAATAAAAAATAAAAGAAGTGGTAAGTCATAGTTAGCAATTTAATTTGATGTAGTCATGGTGGTCATAAGAGACTCTTCTCACATAAGTTAATTTATCTTTGCTACATTTAGAAATGGTATCAGAATTGAACTCTTTTTTTAAAGATTTATTTATTTTAGAGAGCGTGCACATGAGTGGAAAGGGCAGAGTGAGAGGGAGAGAGAATCTCACTGGTCATGGAACCTGATGTGGGACTCAATTTCACAACCCTGAGATCATGACCTGAGCCTAAACCAAGAATCAGATGCTTAACCAACTGTGCTACCCAGGCGCCCCAGAATTGAACTTTTTCAGGGCCTATGTCAGTATTTGTGATTCTAGAGAATAGGGCTCTTGCTTCTTGGCCAAAGGGATATTCTTGGTGGTGGTTCTCTACTCACCCACGTGTGTTGTCCCCTAAGGTGGACACATGGTGGACCTCAATATCATATTGTTCTAGTCACTAAAAAGTTTACTGCAGAGTTATTTGTAATAGAACTGCAGGGGAGGCAGGGACAATGAAACAACCCAATCAAAAAACAAAAGCAGACTACTCAAATGCCAGAAAAAGGGACTTGAAAGAGTTTTTGTTAGGGGAGCCTGGGTGGCTCAGTTGGTTAAGCGTCTGCCTCCAGCTTAGGTCATGATCTCAGGGTCCTGGGATGTCCTGCGTCGGGAGCCTGCTTCTCTCTCTGCCTGCCGCTCCCCCTGCTTGTGCTCTCTCTGTCTCTCTTCTAATAAATAAATAAAATCTTTATTAAAAAAGTTTTTGATTCATGGGCATTAAAAATAAATATTGTAGGGGCACCTGGGTGGCTCAGTTGGTTGAGTGTTTGATTGTTGATCTCAGCATCTTTTTTTTTTTTTTTTTTTTTTAGATTTTATTTATTTATTTGACAGAGAGAGACACAGCGAGAGAGGGAACACAAGCCGGGGGAGTGGGAGAGGGAGAAGCAGGCTTCTCGCGGACCGGGGAGCCCGATGCAGGGCTCGATCCCAGGACCCTGAGATCATGACTTGAGCCGAAGGCAGACACTTAACGACTGAGCCAGCCAGGTGCCCTGATCTCAGGGTCTTGAGTTCAAATCCCTTGTTGGGCTCTACACTGGGCATGGAGCCGACTAAATGAATGAATGAATGAATGAGTAAAAATAAATATTGTAAAGACTATTACTGTTACAGAATAGTTTATTATGTCAAGTTTTAAAAATCACCAGAGCTTGGTTACAGTTTAGTTAAATACATCCATGGACACATTACTGCAGCCCCAAAAGTAGTAAATACGGCAATGTTATATGAGTGAATTTAATTATTTTAACATTTCCTTTATCGTTGCTAAGTTTTTGAAATTTATAAATATCAAGGGGAAACTTGGAGAACAAAAGAAATTTAATACGATGGGACGCCTGGGTGGCTCATTCGGTTAAGTATCTGCCTTCGGCTCAGGTCATGATCCCAGGGTCCTGGGATCGAGTTCCGCATCGGGCTCCTTGCTCAGTGGGGAGCCTGCTTCTCCCTCTCCTGCTCTGTCTACCACTCCCCCTGCTTGTGCTCGCTCTCTCTCTCTCTGACAAATAAAATCTTAAAAAAAAAAATTTATTTATTTATTTATTTATTTTTAAAGATTTTATTTATTTATTTGACAGAGAGATAGAGAGAGAGAACAAGTAGGCAGAGAGGCAGGCAGAGGCAGAGGGAGAGGGAGTAGTAGGCTCCCCGCCGAGCAGGGAGCCCGATGCAGGGCTCGATCCCAGGACCCTGGGGTCATGACCTGAGCCGAAGGCAGCTGCTTAACCAACTGAGCCATCCAGGCGCCCCAAAATCTTAAAAAAAAAATTTAATATGAACTTGTCATCAATCATTCTACTCCTATCTGCTTTGTAATATGTTGAGTGAGCTCAAAAATACAGTTTGCTGGTTACAGGTAACTGCATATTCAATGTAGACAACGAACAAACCCTACTTGCCCCACAGACCATGTATTAAAATGGGGTTTTCATACATACTGTAATTCACTATGAACTTTACAGCTATGGCAACTCAGAATCTCCCTGTTCTTTATCATTTATTTAAAAAAATTGGGGGCTGCGCCTGGGTGGCTCAGATGGTTGGGCGTCCACCTTCAGCTCAGGTCATGATCTCCAGGTCCTGGGATCAAGCCCCACATCAGGCTCCCGGCTCC